CTAAAGATCGTCTTCCCTTGGTCCACAAAAGAGCTACATATGTAACGGCGTTTTCAACACTAGCTGCTCTCAGCATACGCACCGCTACACTCAGACTTGCACACAAGGCTTCCTTTCACATAATTCCATACCACACACACACACACGCACACTTGTATTGTGAACCTGTTGTTGCAAGCTTACTGCTAACTGTCATGTTCCCGCCTGCTATGCAATTGTCAATGTGTGTGACAAAAGAGTGCTTTGGTGAGTTCAATTGCCCGCGATTTCCTGACACTGAAAGCCACGTTCTCGAGAGACAAAGCATCTTGGTGACCGCACGAAGTTGTTGGTGACAAGTGGGGTCGTTTTGGTGCTCTGTTCTGGGGTCTTGGTGCGGGGTGAAAGTCCTTGGTTCTCGATTCGGACTGCAATCGGGGCGAAAGGGGCGGCTGGGTTTGTGCAGATCGTTTAGTCTTCGGATTTGTTCGTCTCTGTTTGTGGGGGAAAGTTCGGTTTGTGTAGATAGATTTCTGATGGTGGAGGTGATGGTGATGGTACAGTAGTCCTCATGGTGATCGTGAAGGTGGTGGTTTTCTGACCGTGTTGGTGATGGTGCTTGCTCCTGTTGTGACGCTCGCGATGGTACCGATGATGGTGCTAGGTTTCGCTTCCTGGCGGTGGTGATGGTGAAAATAGTTTTTAGTCTTGATACCGATGGTCATGGCCACGATGCTGACAACGAAACCGCGCTGATCGACTTCTGCACTAACATCTTAGCTTTTAGAGGCCGTAAAAACGGCCAAAAATCAAAAAAAAAACGAGCCTGCCACGCAAAACGCTCTTAAAACAGCCAAAATGCCGAGAGAAAGAGGGTACGTTAAACGTTTGGAAGGGGGTGATGGAGAAGATACAAAACACCAGTGAACCAAGGGAAGCTAGAATGTAGCAAGTTGCTGTAGTTCCCCTGTGGCGCACACACACACACACACTCTCTCTCTTCCTCCCTTTCTCGATCTTTCCGATCTCTCTAATACTGTGATGCCGTGCCCGCGGCCTCTTCGGTTTGGACAAACTTGCCAATGCGCGACAACTCCGCGGCTGGCAGACGGTTCCAGCTTGCTTAGAATCTGACAAGTGTGCAACAGGCCAGGCTTACTCAGGATGTCATTCAGGCGAGCCTGCCCACGACCACACACATTCTTCCACCAGGAGGGCAGGGAACTCTCGTTGCTTCGCCCCACCTCCGGAGGCAGCTCTGGATTGGGGCCTAGTCGAAGGAATGAAGATGACCAGTGCGTGACCTTGGTGAAAGGAAGTCTTCAGGTACTGGTGGTTACGGAAAGTACTGAAGGGAATAAGCCCAGGTCTGACTCAACAGTCGCATTGTCTTTGTCCTGCGAAGCAAAGAGACGCTATGCTGAGCAACTTCTTCCTGCCATCATCCGACTCACAAATTCGAAACTCTTCGCCGCTCCCATTTGAGGGCAGACCAGATGACGAAGATGTCCACTTTCCGGGATTCTACACCCCTCCTCCCCTTCCTAACGTTTAAATTGGATGACAGGCAGGCAAACGTGGAAAGCAGGCCTACAGGGAAAGGTAAGACAAGGGGACCTCCAGCCTCCAGCCATGCAACCACACATGACATGCTGCCGCAGAGAAGTCCGATTTGCAAGTATACGCCCGTCCTGCCCAGTGTAAACCGAGATGGCCCTCTTGAGGTCCTTGAGACTGCCCATTTCTACCGTCTTGATCACAGGTTCAAGAACAAGTCCTCGTATTGGATCCAAGCACCCTGAAACTTCGGCCAGCTGTTCGAGTTGTAGAACTCAAGGGTCTGGCCAAACCTTTGTGCACACTGAACAAAGATTTGCGAATCCAACATGCAGAGTGGGCTTGAAGGGTGCAGCAGCAGCTTTCTGTACAAGCGGCCATCAAGTCTCCAGCCTCAAGCCACACTGCCCGATGAATGCTTTTAATCTCTGTTTTCGCGAGACTGCGCGGGACTGCGACGATCACCAAGAGTCACCGAAGTCGGACCACGGCCTCTCAAAGCCATGAACCGAAGGAGCCGGATCTTTCGAAAAACTGGATGAACTCCGTGCTCGTAATGAACCAACACCAAGGACTTCAAGTCAGCCTTGCTGGTCAGAGGCGCCAAAGCCTAGCGGTGCCACGCCTTGCTTCGGGTGTCATCCATCCCGCGAGCACGTCGATGTGCCACGACATGTTCAGGAGTTACATCATCGCACACGCGGAGCTCGGAGCAGACAGGAGCAGACTCTGCTATGTGTTTTCCACGCGTGTTGCGACGGAACTTCAGAGAAAAACTGCGTCAAACACGACAGAGTAGGTCGCATCCAATTGCCAGGCATCCTCCATGCCACAACGAAGCAAAAAACAAGATCTGGTTCTGCTTGATGTTCGATGATGCCCAAGTCTGCACGATTCACGGGCCTGCTTCTGCAAACTGACTTTCATCTCTGCGGCGATAGAAGTGACTCCTCGAGTGGAACTCCCGCTCACACTGGACCTTCAGGCAGCCAAGAAATGCTCGCGAGGCAAGACCATTGGAATGCCGTGCAGAAAGGAACCCTAAGCACCTGGACAGAGCTAGAGAAGCGCTGGGGTTGGCAAGGTTCTCATAATTGGACTTGCGGGCGAGCAGGAAATCAACCCCGGCTGAGTGGCAGGGCTCTCTGCTTGGTCGAAAGTTTTCTGGATGCCGGCCGAGGAACTGAGGAAACTGACAAGTGAAATTTGGAAATGGATTCACATAGAGCCGGTAGCTGTAGCTCATCTACTGATGGCACTACCGCTGTGACAGTGCAGGCCCGACCAGAGCCACCTCACGAGCGTGCAGAGTCAGAAAAAACTTCACCCATCTCAAGCAGCATCTGACAAATCCCGTGCCTGGTGCCAAATGCAACCTCAGATGACATGGAGACTAAGCTGGCCAGTCGGCTTGGCAAGAACGGCACGTCACAGCTCTTGCGGCTCAGCATCTCGAAGAGTTGCAGGAGCTCTTCTTGTTTCAGGCTTCCCAGTATCGCGACTTCACGCTCCGAGCGGTCGAAGACAGGAAAGCCAAAGCTGATCCTGAGGCTAGGGCGAGTCTCGTCTCACAAGCAAGCTAGAAATTCAAGAGATGCCAAGCAAGGAGCTCAGACCAGCATGCACCATGAGCTTCGCCCAGCGTCCTCTTCGGTTCCAGCCATCTTCCTGCACATGACAGAAGTCTTTCTACGTGCTTTTTGTTGCATCAGCGCCATTTGGCCTGCAAGCGCAACGATGTGGCTCTCAAACCTTGCTGGCTACGACAAGAACTCTCACTCTGACATGGAACGACCATGAACCCAGCACATTGAGAGGCTGCCGCCACGTGCGAGTCGGGCCACTTGTTGCTCTGCCACTGTCGCATTTGTTGCCCGAAATCCTGTCGGACAGGCTGGTGATCTCATACATCGCCAGAAAGCAGCAACAGAAGCCGTCCTGCAAAAACTGCATAGCTCGTTCCACTAAAACTGGCGGCATCTGGACAGCGCTGAGGATGTATATGCTAAATCCTTCAAGCAGTGATCAGGCCCCTGTATATCACGATGCAACAAGTAGCAGAATGTCTGGAGAAAGCTCAGCTGTTGGCCTGGCACGCCATATGAGTCCTTATCATTGTACTGCTTAGTCTAGTATAGCAGTCCAACCCTTGCCGTTTCGAAAACAGGAGGCAAGTCTTCTTTCGGACAAGCGTCACGCATGCTGCATCCAACACTGTATCCAAGCTGCTGCTTCGTTCGCAGCTCATCGAAGAGGCTCTCATACATGACGTCTTCCAACAAGGCCAGAAGCACCCTGACCCGAACCCGGTCCTGGTTCCGTCGGAACATGCTGCGATTCGCTAGAAAGCGGAGAGTACAACTACTGTACCGAGTGTGAGTCTATGCACATCGTACAGCCCACTAAGCCCGCGAATCCCTCATCCTCCTGCCACTGCCACGTGTCCCGCTCAGGCAATTGAAAATAGATCTCGACTGCAGAGTTCGACTGCGTAGCATCGACTGCAGATTGCAGCCACACTGTCGCCGATCCCACAGGAAGCTGTACCACATCCACCTCTAGCTTTGTCTGAGGTTCCAAGCTGTAGCCATCAAAGACCGTTCCTGCCCAGCCCATCAACTCCTCTGCCGGCGTATTACCAGAAACCAAGAGCTCACATCCCAGTACAGAATTGAAGTTTTGGACGAAGGCTATGAGCTGCTCAGATCCGCAGGAGCTCAGCTGCGCCTCCTTCCCTGAGGGTCTGGGCATTGATGGCATCAGCAGAAGCTTGCGAAGATCTGAACAGTGCGACTGTGGCTTCAACCATGAATTCCGGTAGCTTCTGAGCAGCGCCTCGTGCATCGCCAGGAAGCGGTCTGGTTTGTACTTCTCCAGTTTTCGACCACACAAAGTTGTCTCCACCAGTCGTAAAAGCTTCTGACTGAAGCCTCCAGCTCTGATTGTCAGGCCATAGCTTGTACTGTTCACCGCGCAGTGCAGTCTCGCCTTTCCAGCCGCATAAAGCATCTCATTCAAGCTGTCATTGAAGCAAAGCGCATAGAGTTCCAGCAGCGCGCCTTTCTGCACATTGCCTGCGTCCAGCGAGTAGTAGGGTGAGTGTATCTTCACTGAGACTTGGCTGCGCGGCTGCCTGAACCGATCTGCGCAAGGCAGGTGCCACAGTTTCAGGCCTGACACGAATGCAGGACATGTGCCAGACAGATTGAAGCGTGGAGGTCCTACAAGTTCCAGGACGCAGAAGCCCCTTCCATGCCAAACCTTCCGCCGCTTCCCCACCACCTCCCCCACCTCCTGGCTCTGAGTCACTTCCCACGCACTGAAAGATCCTTTTAAAGTATTGCCTCAACCTGGGAAAAAGCCCTGAAGGTTCAAGATGGTTCAAGTATGTCTGGTTCGCCCAACATGAGCTTCAAATGCATGGGCTTCTGCATTCGTTGCAAGGCTGATTCTACGCCCAGTCCCAGAGAGAGTTCCAGATAGACTGAAAAGTCTATGCCCAGCGCTGGTCTTATGCCAAGAGATGGAAGGAACAAGAAGCTGTTCTGATTATTTCTCAAGGTCAACATCCTGTGCCTGCAGCGCAGGATCTGAGAAGTTGGGGAGACGGCAGAAGCCTTCTCACCGTTGGAAAACTCGCGTAGCCTGTCTTGGGTTGTGCGAACTCCTCCACAGTCATGACATGCTGCAGAATAGAGAAGTCAGTGGCGATGAAAGGGTTCGGAGGTGGAACGTGCAGCTTCGCTGCCGTATGCAGCGATTCCCAGCTCAAGAGGAGGGTCTCTTCAAGCGGGGAGTCCCAGTATTCGGTTCCGAAGTAGGGTTCCACCTTCGGTTCGCATCCAGCCAACTCGACAAAATGTCGATCAACATGTCCCTGTCCGTCAGCGATATCTTCCATGCATGGCTCTCCTTCTTCAGGGGTGTCTTCATTGACGGCATCCAAGCCACCTCCCGAAGCATCAATCCCTAGTGCACAAGCCACATCTTGTGAAAGCTTGCCAGCCTGCTCTGCCATAGGAGCTGCTCATCAGCATGAAAAAACATCCGCGAACTGTAAGCAAGTTCAATATGGACCTTATCTTGGGATTTCGAGAGTCTAGCTCTCCGAACGGCGACGCTCATGGCTCAGAACTACAAAGCTATTGCTGCGCGAAGCAACCTCACGAGGTCCTCTCTGAAGCCAGAATATATCCATGGCGCCGTCAGCAGATGATCTGCTTCATGGCGGTAGAACGGCAGCATGCGCTCCTGAGTTCACAGCATCATGCAGACTACATCATGCACACCGAGTTCTACTTGTCGTTGAAGACTTCAACTCGTTGTGGCCATCATGGCTGGTGTACGCAGGACCTGCTTTTGCTCGTGCCTGCGCTTCCTCTGAATCGATCGCGTCACGAGGGCCCACCATCCTGCCTTTTGTTGCCGTGCCCGCACTAGCCATCCTCAACCGCCCCCAAGCACTTGCAGAGGTTCAGTACAGACTTGTCAGCTTGGATTGGCCGTCGGTGCTTAACGCGGCGTGTCAACAATATTCTCGGACAACCGCGCCGGACGGACATGCTCGATCATGAGGCAAAACGACTGTAGAAACTGTTTGGCTGAGCGACACTCAAATCGATGACCAGGTCCCCAGGATCCTGGTCACTGACGGAACCGTGAAAGCTACGAGAATCGTTTCTGTTGCAACCTTAGAACGAGCCGATCCTTCTCCTGCAAGAACCTGAATGAGCATTCTGCCATCTGCTTCTTCTCTTCATAGAGGTACGATGGCAAGCCACCGTCAGGATACCTCCTGAGCATATCCAGGTATTGGAAAACGGTCGCCACCACCTCCGTCCAGTGGCCAAGGCCATTGACCGTCAGGGTGATTTCAACAGTGAATATCATGGAATTACCTGGCTGGCACGCGGACCCAAGTCAAAGGCATTTCGCTGCCGCAGCATGATCTTCAGATGAGCCTCTGCTGTGGCTGAAATTATCACCTCCTGCACCTGCGCAAAGATCCGTGGCCCAACCCATGTCTTTCAAATAGGACAGGATCGACCCATGTCCCTCATCACCTGGCATGATGTGACAACTCGACATTTAAAACGGCCCAGACGTATCCACAGTGTTCCTCAACACCCACACGCGACGCATGGCCTATGAGACTGCTGAGGTAGCTTTCTGGCTTACCTCGGGACCGTCACTCATGAGCACAGTCTCACATGCCCCAGCACCAAGTGTTCTAAACCCCCAGCGCAGCTCGGCCACTCTTGTAGTGCTTGAGTTGTGAAGGCAGTTGCCAGCT